ATTTACTAATCAAAAATTGAAAAAATTAATCCAAACCATTTTGCACCAAGATTTTTAAAATAATTTTTAATTTTTTTTTTTTTTTTTTTTTTTTTTTTTATGTATATCAGATATGTAACATGTCCATTTTTGAAAATAAGGTTGACTGGACATGACATTATCAGAAAATAAGAGCAATGACTATAGTAAATTTAAAGTCAACATTACTAAAATTAGATTACAAAGAATATTTTCCAACATTTTTAAGATTACTGAGTACTTAAAATTTTTTATAAAAATGGGGTTCACCTATCATTTTCTTAAATTATGTTTTAACAAATAAAGTCTCTGTAGAACAACAATCAATCTGACAGCACCTTTATCAGCACTTGTTACGTGATTGACAAGTGGTGACTAGTACGTAATCACCATTTTAAAAAAAATCCATTTCTGTTATTTTTTTTTTTTTTTTTTTTAAATCAAATTAATTATACTTTAAATCTGTTAATATTCCGCAAGTAAAGTTTCAGAAGAGTATTATTTTTGGAAGATTTTTTAATACAGCATTACATTGTGAAGAAAGACAACTTAAAAAAAAAAAAAAAGATTCCAATCAATATCATTTCTGTTTGAAATACATCAGAGCATTTTGCTTACTGGAAATAGTAAATTTAATCCTTTAGCTTTCAATTAATGCTAAAATGAAAACTTCAAGAAAGCTTTTTTCATTTATAAAAATTCATTTTAAACCAAGGTATCGAAAATTAGTGGAGGTACCTATTTTTGTATTATAATAAAAAAAAAAATAAAATAAGAAAACAGACCGCCAAATAGAGTTTAATTACAACAGACAAATTAAAATTATCTAAGTTTTTAGATTAAGAATTAACTTATATTGCAAAATAGTAATGTCTTTTTTTCGATAAGGTCTATTTTGTGTGTGAAGAAGAGATGTTAAATGAAATACCAATAAATTAGTTTTAGATAGCAGATAGAAGTGATAAACATAGAAGTGACCAGTTTAGCCATTCAGCCCCTAATACAAAGTTAGAAAACTTGGATCCATCCCAATTTTGTTGAGCATTTAAAATTACATTTGATGTCCTAAGATGAAACCATCAAACTAATTTCATAACTTTTGTATATCACATTATGAAGAGGTGGAGAACCACTGTCAGAGAACAATTCTTAGAGATTAGGAAATCTAAAGCAAACAAGTTTGGTAAAAAAAAAAAAAAAAAAAAAAAATAAAATTAAAAAATGCTTACAGATTAAAAAAAAAAAAAAAAAAAAAATTAAGAAGTTAAAATAGAATTTTAAAATTTAAAAAAATAAAATAAAAGGATAAAAATATTTCCTGAAAACTAAACTGTCATTATCCATGACAATGACAAAAGAGTGAGAATTTAAAAGCTAGCTCATTCATATATACTACTTTTGTTTACAGTTACAAATGGCTTTCTCATTTCATTTTGTTTCTTTTTTTTACATCACAGGATATGTTCATTTAATATTGAAAGAAAAAAATATTTGAAACCTTTGCTGGCTGGTATTACACTGGCTACCTGTGCAACTATTGACCAGCAGCAGGGAAAAATTTTATTCATATAATCTACCCTTACCCAGAGTTAAGTTTTAGAAAAACATTTTTTTTGTCATTTGTAGGAAAGAGGGACTTGGTTATAATTATAAAGGGAACATTACTTTACTCTCTACACAATTTCTGGATCTTAATAATAAAAGAAAAAGAAAGTTGTGTGGGTAGGGCAATTGTTAGCAACATGGAAAGTAGAATCAATGAGCAGGGTTCAAATTCTGGCATTGTTGCATTCATTTTCACACTAAAACCTTTAGTAAAAGTCTGAACCCATCTCTTTTTCTACATCAGCTTTAGAGAAAATAAGGTAGACTGGGATTTTTGCCTTGGATGGCAACCAGTTTGAGAGAAGGAAAATGGAAATCAAGATGATGGAGAAGGCAATGGAAAACCACTCCACTATCATTGTAGAGGAATCAATGGAGAGCCATAATCTATATTCTGATGAGACATGAGACTGGTTATGTATAATGGGATGAAAAGTTATTGGCCCAGTGAAAAATAAATAAAAATCAATAACCAAACATTAAAATACTGATTTTTGGGAAGTGGGCTCAGCCAATAACTTTTCAATACCCTCTTGTGAATATTTTTAACATCTGCTTTTTAAACTGAATCAGATTCTTAAAAAAAACAATTTTCTATGTTTGAGAGAGAAAAAAAAGTTTATTAGTTTGAGTTAATATGAAAAAGAAATTTTAACAATAGAGGATGAAACTAGTTGTCAGCAAGTTGTTGGCTCCAGACTATATCAATTTGGGGATTAGATGTTAATTTTTTCTCAAAATGTTTGTAAATTTTCATTATTGTAATAAGGGAAAAAAAGTTAATGTTAGGATAACAAACTGATCTAATCCCACAATTACAAAGCCAGTGATTGTGCATTATTTATAGAAAATAAAGTATGTGATAAGTTGAGAAAAACTAGTACAGTAGAACAAAATTATTCATGACAAGAGTGTGGAACTATTAATGAAGGCAACAATGAAACAACCAAGAAGAATTTTTCCAGATAAGAAGATGTAAGATGTATTATTCAAAGATCTATTATAACCCCCCCCCCCAAAAAAAAACCCTGCAAATTATTTCAGGTTTATTTTGCAGGATTACTTACAGCATAATTTAACAGGATTTGACAGTCATTATTAGAATAATTTCAGAAAAAGGTTGTTTATTTTTAATAATTTGATACGATTGACACACACATAGAAAGGGAAGTGGTGGTTTTATCTTGATCTTAAGTATTTCTGTTCAATATCCAACAGATGGTTCTTTTTGAAGTTTAATCTTCTAGGCAGCATCCACTTTGAAGTGTAATACAGAAGTAAAGGAGTAGATGAGATTTTTGGAGATCAAATGGCAACAAAACCGGAAATAGGGTATATCCAGATGACAGTCTATATTAACAGTCAAGTTTATGATCAGGGAAGAGTTCTAGTTCGTCCTTGGTGGAAAACTGGTTCCTGTGCTGTCCATTTGCATTGCAAACCAACCAGATGAATGGATGGGTGAAAAGTTGGTAGGAGGAAGAGCTGAGCTGTTAGACCAACGTAGCAGAAGTCATCCCACATATCACCTACCTATCTACTCAGATGAGTAGGTGAAGCCCCTTATAAAACATTTACATATAATATGGAAAACAAGGTTCAAGTTCTTATTCTTTGATGTGGCCTTTATCTTTGATCTTGTGAGCAGTAGTGGGTCTTTTCCCAGCTTTTGGCACACTCAATGAAATCAAGAAGTGAAATGCAACATGGGATAATCATTAGCTGGATGTTGAAAAGCTTGGACAAGGCTTGCATTGTACATTTACAATAAATCAACATTAAATCTTGGAAGAAGTCCTGCACAGGCAAAGTGAATGTTTTCTGCAAGATAGCTTGTTCCCAGATTCAATTTCACTGAAAGCAAGACTAAATGGTCAAGCATTTGAAAACAAGCCTCATTCAGCTGAGCAATCGCATAGCTCTAGGTTAACTAACATTTGTCTCTCTTACATGAAGATCATGAAAAAGATGATCAAAAGAATGGTTTTATTGTAAATATTACCTTTCGACTTTTCAAAAAAACCAAAATTTCAATATATATATATATATATATATATATATATATATATATATATATATATAAATATATATATATATATATATATATATATATATATATATATATAAAAACGATATCTTCATTTTTATATTTACATATGTTCTATCCCTGATATTGAGCACTTTATTCCATAAATATAGCAGACCTTAAAACTATATTTCTTCATATATATATATATATATATATATATATATATATATATATATATATATATGTGTGTGTGTGTGTGTCCTTGGAAAAGGTATGAATTCCATCTCTTCTCCTCCACAGCTAAGGGTAAATAGCAGGACAGACTGGGTTCTATAGCCTTGGGTACTAATTGGTCTAGAAGGAAAAAAACTGAATTCAAAACTTCCAACTACAGGGCTGGCTGGGCTCTGTAGCCATGGTTGACAAACAGACTAAGAGAAGGAGAAGGAAAACTGAATTCAAATCTGGAGTCACAGTTCCTAAGACAGTCTGATGTGTTCAATTTCTTTGTGGCAACTCTTTCAACACCACCAGTGCCATGCTATATTGCTGTCTGCCTTTCCTGAAGATGGCATAACTATTCAGACACAGTTACAGGGTTTCTCAAGACTGACAGATGCCCTAATATATATATATTTGAATACAATTTACAAGTTGTTAAACCAAAGTAAACATATACGTTAAATATTTAAACTTAAAAAGGTTCTAAAAGTCACTTAATAGTAGTAGGAAACTAATTTTCTTTCATGTTGACATAGAAAGAAAAATTATTTATAGTGGGACTAATGTCCTCATCTTTGCTGATATTATCACAATATGTTGGCCATTGTGCTCTCCAACCGTCTTCAGGTGTCTGTTGATACAGGTAACCTTCGGGGAATTTTGAACAGAATCATTTACTTAATCTATAATTTTGGTGGCATGGTTCAATCTCTGCCCTAGGCAGTATGGACTCAGCATAAACAGGACTAGCAATGTCTGCCAAGTGCTAAAAAAAAAAAAAAAAAAAAAAAAAAAAAAAAAAAAAGGAGGAGATATCTTTAGACAGGGACAGTGAAAAGAGAATAATCTACTCCTGTAGATTAAATTAAGGTTTCAGTTTGAAATTCCCAAAATGTTAACCATAAGAAGGTCAAAGGTCACAACTGCTAAAATGTGATAATATCAGATGTGGACATTAGTCTGTCTGTAAATAATGATAACTCTCAGAAATTCAGACAAATAAAATTTATTTTGCTGCCAGTTAAAAACCTAACAAGACAAGAGTAATATTGCTTGGCTGAATATACAGAAAATAAAAATGGAAAACATGAAAAAATATATAAAAACAAAAAAAATCACAACATACCCAAGTTCTCTTAGAGCTCGTCCTTCATGAATGTCCCAAATGATAACTCTCGTGTCATAGGATGCTGTAGCTAAAAGGACACCATCAGGTGAAAAGTCACAGGAGACCACATCATTCTGGTGGCCTGCAAGTCTGTGAAAAATTTCATAAGGTTTCTTCATTTTCCAGATCATAACCTGGTCATGGGAGAGCAAAAAATAAATAAAAAATAAATAAAAAATACATTTAATTTATTTATTTTAATTTCAAATAGCATATCTTTCAAGGCTTCTGAAACTGTTCACAACTCTTTGGGTCTAGTCAGTGAACCTAACCAACATCTTTATCCACTGGGCCATATGTCCTTGAGGATGCATGGCACAGCAAGTTCAATACCACGCTACAACAGTGATGAACAAAAAAAACTTGGGAGAGTTGAGTTAAAGGGAAATAACTGAGACATCTGGAAGAGGCATGGCATGTGGAACTAGAACAATCTACCCCAGTGGACAGAATAAAGGGTTTGGTTCAAAATTCCAATCACCTGAAGAAGGCTGGAGTGTACAACAGCTGAAACATTGTGAACATGACAATGAAGATGAGGATAACAGTCCAAATAAAATATATATATATATATATATATATATATATATATATATATATAATATATCAAAATTTATTAATTATGTAAAAAAAAAAAAATTTTTTTTCTAACTCATGAAGACACTAGGGCACTCAAAAACATTAGCCGCAGCATATGTCTAGAAAACTGAAAGTCAAATGAGAACTGAAAGAAAAGAAGAGAGAAAAGTCTAAGGAGTGAGTGTAAAGTGGGGAAGAAAAAAAATGACAAATAATCACAACATTCAACATATATGCCCAGATGGGCACCCAAACACACACTATTTAAAAAAAAAAAATAAATAAAAAAATAAACTTGCACCAATGAAAGTGCATAGGAAAAAGAAAAATCAAGTATTAGCAGTCAATTGCTGATATCACTTGACGAGTAGACAGAGTAATTCCCAGATGGTCTGTCTATAAAGCTCTAGAGTTGGGATGCTGAAGGTAACATCAGTGACAAACCTTTTTACTTCTTTTTTATTTATATATATATATATATATATATATATATATATATATATATATATATATATATATATATATGTGTGTGTATGCACACAAAAGATATGAATGATGAAAAAACAGATTGCTTCAAGTACCTGGGCAACATCGCGATAAACTCCACTGGTTAGGAAAAGGAGGATATCGATGCCTGCATTGATGCTATGTTGCAGGCTGTAGTGGAGATCTGAGATCAAAGTCAACATGAATGTTTGGATCTATCAGGCTCTGGCCAGGGTGATCCTTCTCCATGACTGTGAGATGTGACCAATGAGAGCTGGGGATCTTAACAAGCTAGAGTTATTTGATCTACTGGCAACACTTCATCTTGAACACTGCTGTCTGGACTTCCTTCAAAGTTGGCTCTATCCAACAATTTTACAAGGTGATTTTGGTAGTTTGACCATGCTGTTCAATGACAACCAGGCGAATTCATCTGTGAGGTGATTGATGCAGACCACCCACAGCAAAAAATGTAGCTTAAGACATTTAAAGTGTATGTTGAACCGTTCTTGTGTTCACATGTATTTGGGATTCATTATTGGAACCATGATTAGTTAGTTACTTAACCAACCATTGAGTTTGGTCAGCTTTTATATATATATATATATATATATATATATATATATATATATAAATATAAAATATAACTATTTACGATAGAAATAATTTGTAAAAAGGATTAGAAAGAAGTAAATCTTTTTTTTAAGGTTTTATTGAAATTTTATTTCAGTTTCATGTCCTCCATCATTAGCAATACAAAAGGTAATACTGATTATGCAGTATGTATTTGGGATTCGTTGGAACCATGATTAGTTAGTTACTAACCAACCATTGAGTTTGGTCAGCTTTTAATATATATATATATATATATATATATATACACACACAAGGTGTCCATAAAGTTCGTGTGCACGTTAAAATATAACTTTATTTGTATTTGCGATAGAAATAATTTGTAAAAAGGATTAGAAAGAAGTAAATCTTTTTTTTTAGGTTTTATTGAAATTTTATTTCAGTTTCCACATGTCCTCCATCATTAGCAATACAAAAGGTAATACGATTATGCAGTTCACAGAAAACATTTGCCAACTGATTTACAGTAATGCCTGAAATCACATTAATTATTTTAGCTATACTTAAAACTAGGTACATTAAACTTTATAACATTTTTTTACAGATAGAAATAATCTGTAAAAAAATGTTATAAAGTTTTATTTTTTTTAAAGTGCACACTAACTTTATGGACACCCTGTGTGTGTGTGTGTGTGTGTGTGTGTGTGTACATTCTTATTTTGTGCAATTACTTGTTCCCTTGAAGAATGACAAAATGTAAACCAATAATAGACAACATTTCAGTGTACATAAGCATACAAAAAAAAGAGTACTGAAGTGTTACTTAATATCAGTCCTCCTACATGGTAGTGAATGCTGGACAATCTTCTCGCACATGAAGAAAAGACTTGAAGCAATAGAATGATACTTGAAAATACCATGGATGGAACATGGGAACAACGATAATGACTGAGAAAATGGAAAGAAAATGGGCACTTATCAGAAAGACTTGAAATTTCTAGGGTGCATAATGAGGAAGGAGGACTTGGAAAATTTGATACTCACAGGTCAGATGGAAGGCAAGAGAGAGAGAGAGAGAGAGAGAGAGATGCAACACGTAACCTACCTTGGGAGCTTGAGTAAATGGATGGTAGAACAAGGTTTAGGAAATAACAAAAAGAAAAAATTTATTAAGAGTTCCAAAGGACAAGAAATTGTGGAGAGCAATGATCGTCAATGTCATGTAGGGAGATGGCACATAGAAGATTTAAAAATTTTCAAAACATTATTTTGACCGTTTTTAGTCATGTCTAACTACTACAAAGTTGTTCAGATTTTGATTTGCCTACATTTAAAATGGTCATGCTGTAACATAATACAGAAGATGAGAGGTGCGTGGGTGTGAGCATTCAAAGAAATGACAGGCGAGTCAACAAACCCAACTGGCAAGATGAGTTGGCATGCACTTTGTTGTTTAAGTCTTGACAGATGACAACATATCTGTCATCTCTGTATTGTCATACTGTAATTAGTGAAGATCATTTTTGAGTAAATTTCATGCAACTCTGAAGTTAAAAGCTGCATTACTGATCTTTATCAAACAGGAAAGTCATCAGCTATTCAAAAACTTATTCAAAAAAACATTTAGCTTATCCAAATTCTACTGATTGTAATTTAGAAAGTGGGTCACATATTTGAAGTGAAGTGTAGCACAGAAAGTCAGTTTTGAAAGACAAGCCAAGATGATGGAAGGCTGAAAATGACTATTCTGGAGCCCCATATAAAAATACTGAAACAGAATTAGCACAAGATTATAGAAATTCAAATGTCAAGAAGGTTGAATGAAACTGCTTTTTCATTAGTGATATACAAAGAAACTCAAATTTTTGTCTCTTTATCGTCATCAATGATATACAAAGCATGTTTAGCACAAAGAGTTATTTTTTGAGCTGTCTACCAATGCTGTAAAACACTGTCCCCAAAGGTCAGATGAAAGATTCAACCCCAAATACCTGTCTGCCACAGCTAAGAGCGGAGATGATAGAATGGAGGGGAGGCAAGACTTTCTGCATATGACATTGGTTAGCTAGTACAATACGAGAAGGAGTAATTAAAAAAAAAAATTCACGTTTGTGATGTTTTCACCAGTTAAGCTACCAGACCATAGCCCCAAAGAGAATATATGGGCACAGATTAAGGCCAAAACTTGTGGCTAGGAGTAAATATGAGAACACTAGGGGCAGTAAGCAGCCAGAAATAAAAGGGGGCAACAATGATATAGCACATTGTAAACAGCATTGTCTAGCAGTTGTTTACAAACAAGTCAGTCAGTCAGTTTTCTAAAAAAGAAAAGAATTGTCTTATATTAAAACATTTTGTACAAACATTCCACACGGTGTTGTATAACAATCACATTATATTTCATCTATAGCTTAAAAAAAACGAGGGGAGGGGAGTGAATCTGGTGTGTGATTTTGAATGTGTGTATGTAATGTATATGCATGTGGCTATGTTGTATGTTAGTAATTTACATGTGCTTGTGCCATTCAATGTAGAAACAAGCACATACTCACACAAGCCCATTCAGTCTGGACAACCTCTACCCAGAGCTGAGCAATAAAATTAAAGTTGAAGATAAAAAAGTTATGTTAATTTAAAAATAATTATAAGATTTTGTTTAACTTTTTAGAAATGCAAACAATTTGAATGATATTGAAATGGACACCTGTGTTGCAAGGGCTAATTTTCCTTACAGTCTGGCAACTACCCCAGATAACAGGAAAAGAGTATAAGCTGGATATTTGAAGTCTATTTAAACTGAATATATTTTCTGAATGTAGTATTTTAAAATGGATAAACAATTTAGATTTGAAAATACCACACGTACTGAACTAGTAATTATAATATGTGGATGTGATATTCAAAATAATCCAAAACTAGAAAAAAAATTGCAAGGATGCATCCTATCAAGTCTCTATGAATTAAATATTTAACTTTCATAGCAGGAAAGACAAGATTTTTTTTTTCATTTTGTAAGAAGAAAAACGTTTTACATTTAATAACAAGGATAAAAAAAAAAAAAAATTTATAATGTAGAAGTTGGTATAAAAATTTTCAAAGTCAATTTTATATTATCTCTTAATTGAAATTAATGTCTTGCCTAATCTGCATATGTGGAAATATTTGGCATAATATTTTAGCACACCTGCAAAAAAAAGTTTTCTCCTTGTTACTTTTGGAGCTACCAATGAAAAACTTTCACTGCATTTGATACAAACTTTAAAAATTCTTTGCATCTTCTATTCAATTGTTATAATATTGATTCAAAGCAAATAACCAGAAAATGTTAGTCATTACTAAATGAAAAAATTTATTTTAACCTAGCAAATACCAAATTGTTATTCTATAACCATATCCTTCACTTTTCATTAAAAATGTCAAATTTATTCAATACAAATTTGAAGGCTCTACTTCTATAGTTATTGTAGAAGAAAAATTCCAAAGCTATTTGGAGGTTAAAAATAGTTTCAAAGTTAAAAAAAAAAAAAAAAAAAATAATTTTATATATATATATATATATATATATATATATATAAGTGGGATACAAAAATTAGTAACCTTTTCACAAAGTTCATAGCAATAAAGCTAAAAGGAAAATTATTCCCAATAATAGAAACCATACTGATAATTCAGTTTATTTTTAATATTCAACTTACCAATCGTTTTTCACCACAGGCAGCTAAGTACCTGGCACCTGGAGAGAATTTGCAGCAATAGACAATATTTTTTAAAGGTGTATGCAGAGTATGGGTCATATTTCCATCATCATCAAGATCCCAGAGCTTAAGGGTTCCATCATTGGAACCAGACACTAAAATTTGACTGCCATCAGGAGCAAAGTTTAAACACCGAACTAGCTTTGTGTGGTCATCAAGGAGACATAGTAGATTACCTGGAGAGGAAGAATAAAAAAAAAATTATTGGTGTTTATGTAATCCAGGAATTTTATATGGAAAGATCTATGAAAGAAATGGCCAAAAATTTCATCCATACAAATTTTTAAATGTACAAAAGCATTATCCAAAATACTGATGTAATTTTTAAATATGAAATGGTTTCCCCAAAGAAAAAAAAATTGAAGAGAAAATGATCATGAGATCATTTTTGGCGATGGGATCAAGAAAAATGTGTGGGTTAATTTAGATGTTATTATAGACAGTACAAAACGAAAATATTAAATTATGAAGTGCTACAAACCCATCATCATGACGAAATATCAAAAACCATTTGACATTATATATATCAAAAACCATTTGACATTATATATATCAAAAACCATTTGACATTATATATATCAAAAACCATTTGACATTATATATATCAAAAACCATTTGACATTATATATATCAAAAACCATTTGACATTATATATATCAAAAACCATTTGATTGAACAATAAAAAATATTAAAAACTTAAAATCTTCAGACACACTGGGTTGTATGTTAATATTCTTTTGTTTTTATTATTATTTCAGTTAAATTCCTCCTTATATATATATATACACATATACATATATAAAAACACAAGCAAAATGGAACAAAAAAAAAAAAAAAAAAATAATGTCCTTTGGGATGATGGCGTAGGAGATATAGGAGTTGATTACACGTGTTACTGAGGTCATGAGTTCAAACACTGATTCAGCAGGAATGAACAATAGCTGACATCAAAGAGACAAAATATCACAATCAACAGATACCCCCATATCAAGCCAATCAATGAACACCTGATGATGACCAGAGAGTACTTGGTTGAAATGTTGTCTATAATAGATGTTATTATAGACACAGCAATCACAAGAAGTAATACAAGTATAGTGAATTGAGAAATGTGAAAAATGTCTGGTGAGATACAGGACATGCTGACTAACTTGACATTGTTCAAATTCCACAATAGGGGCATCTCATGTTGTGACAGTTTTGTACCCCACCTCCCAACACATTGTTCTACCAGTTAATCTGTATGTTGTGCTTTGAAAAAATTATTTTGCTTACTGCGCCATTGGCACAAGTATACATATTCTCTCTGCCATAAGAATAGGCAATTAATATTAGCACAAGCAATACTAATTGGACATAAGACTTCTGATAACGATGCCTTTACCATTTTAAGATTCTCTATGATGACAAAACAAATTCTTAAATTTGCATTCTTGCCTGTCTCCATAACTGCTAGGCATCTCTACATAAAAATAGCTGATAGAAGATGGTAGAAAAAAATCTATTTCATTGCTGGTAACATTAAACAAGTGTAGATTATATGGCAGGAAAATAAGCATTTATAACTTGCCATGGCTAATGCAACAATAATGAAGTTAGTTACAGCTGTTGCACATTTACAAGCAATGAGATTACTTGAAATTAAACATGATTACTTATCAAACTTATTTGAAATGATGGGGACTTCAACATTGGGTTGTGATTATGCAGACCATTACTACCAAATAGTAAGCTAAGTGACTCATGTTAGTCTAGTTTAAGGAATTTGAACAGTGAGCCATGTTACCCAGCATGTCCTGTATATCAGACATTTCACATTTTTCAATCCGCCTGACCAAGAGGAAATTCCAAAAATATTTTCTATCTAAAAATCAGATGAGTAACCAACAAAAATTCTCATTCATACATTGACGTTTTCATGCACTAGCATCTATTTAGAATAAAAAACAAATACAATAGCATGTGATGACTTTAATGAATGTCACTTATTGTGGAAACAGAAGCAAGAATGAATGCTTAATAGAGATGATTATAAAAATTAAATGGTGGTGGGAGAGAAAGAGATGGGAAGAAGGCGAGAAGAGAGTGAGATAGATAGCAAGAAGAAAGGATGAGAGAGAGAGAGAGAGAGAGAAATGAAAGGATGAGAGGGGAGAAGGAGAAATGGGAACTCGAGGAGAGAGAAATGAAAGGATGAGAGAGAGAGAAGATGAAAGGATGAGAGAGAGAGATGAAAGGATGAGAGAGAGAGAGAATGAAAGGGATGAGAGAGAGAGAGAAATGAAAGGATGAGAGAGAGAGAAATGAAAGGATGAGAGAGAGAGAAATGAAAGGATGAGAGAGAGAGAAATGAAAGGATGAGAGAGAGAGAAATGAAAGGATGAGAGAGAGAGAAATGAAAGGATGAGAGAGAGAGAAAGAGAAATGAAAGGATGAGAGAGAGAGAATGAAAGGATGAGAGAGAGAGAAATGAAAGGATGAGAGAGAGAGAAAGAGAAATGAAAGGATGAGAGAGAGAGAAATGAAAGGATGAGAGAGAGAAATGAAAGGATGAGAGAGAGAGAGAATGAAAGGATGAGAGAGAGAGAAAAATGAAAGGATGAGAGAGAGAGAATGAAAGGAAAGGAGAGAGAGAGAAAGAGAAATGAAAGGATGAGAGAGAGAGAGAAAAAAGGATGAGAGAGAGAGAAATGAAAGGATGAGAGAGAGAAATGAAAGGATGAGAGAGAGAAGAAATGAAAGGATGAGAAAGGAGAGAGAAATGAAAATGGGATGAGAGAGAGAGAGTGACAGAGAAATGAAAGGATGAGAGAGAGAGAGTGACAGAGAAATGAAAGGATCAGAGAGAGAGAGAGTGACAGAGAAATGAAAGGATGAGAGAGAGAGTGACAGAGAAATGAAAGGATCAGAGAGAGAGAGAGTGACAGAGAAATGAAAGGATCAGAGAGAGAGAGAGTGACAGAGAAATGAAAGGATCAGAGAGAGAGAGAGTGACAGAGAAATGAAAGGATCAGAGAGAGAGAGAGTGACAGAGAAATGAAAGGATGAGAGAGAGAGAAATGAAAAGGATCAGAGAGAGAGACAGAGAAATGAAAGGATGAGAGAGAGAGAGACAGAGAAATGAAAGGATGAGAGAGAGAGACAGAGACAGAGAAATGAAAGGATGAGAGAGAGAGAGGACAGAGAAATGACAGAGAAGATGAAAGGATGAGAGAGAGAGAGGACAGAGAAATGACAGAGAAATGAAAGGATGAGAGAGAGAGACAGAGAAATGACAGAGAAATGAAAGGATGAGAGAGAGAGAGTGACAGAGAAATGAAAGGATGAGAGAGAGAGTGACAGAGAAATGAAAGGATGAGAGAGAGAGTGACAGAGAAATGAAAGGATGAGAGAGAGAGTGACAGAGAAATGAAAGGATGAGAGAGAGAGTGACTCAATATGATCTTCATCCTAAGGATATTAAATTCACCAAGTTTTGTAGGGATCATGTTTCAGCTTTTGTTAAATTAGTTCAAACAGCTTCAGCAAAATTTACATAACAGAAATAACATTTACCATTATGGCAGTTCCAGAGTTGAATCCTTCCCGAATTGACACCAATTGCTAATGTTAGGTATTTCTTGAAGTTGATATGCCTCGGACGGAAATGGGTGCTGGAAACTTCTTGTTTAGAAGAATCTGGTTCTGGCAAGGTGCTGAAGGCCAGAGACCAGACACTTTCTCCACAGTCAAAGATCCGTTGTTTAGATAAGGTCGCCTTGGAATCGGCACTGGATCTAAGTCTGAAGAAGAAAAAAGTTGTTTAACACATTTCATGTTGCAAAGCAAACATCAAATATAGCCTTTGGAATAATATAAGTCTTTTTGCCAGAAAATACTGGAAAGTGTTGACTTATTGTTTCATTATGTTATTGTTAAGAAGGTTGAATTACAGAAGTTTTCACTATAGAGTATATAGAGAAATTAATAAAGAGGAAAAGCATTACTAGTCTTTCTTTGATTGAAGCAATATGTGATAATAAACCAATAAGCAAACTACTCATTTTTAAATGATAATGTTCAAAGATTTATCATCATGAAATGAAACATTGGGGGGGGGGAGAGAATGAGAGAGAGAGAGAAAAGAATTATGATTCCATATATACTCACATTTTATTTTGATTGCTGTCCCATTTGTACAAATATACATATCCTCTTCCACAAGACCAGGCAAAGTAAGACCCGTCAGGTGACCAAGCCACAGATCGGTTTCCATTACTTCGGCTTCTGAGTTCAGCATACTCTGATCTCAAGTAATCACATTGAGGAGCTTGACCTGAAGGATAAAGGGAAAAAAAAAATCATGAAAACCAACCAACTAATCAGTCAGTCAGTTAATTACAATACCATTTTTTGAAAGGAAATAAGTTAACTTTTTTAAAGTACATGTAGGATGCACTAAGAAAAAATTCTGCATCTTATATGCAAACTTAGACTAATTTGATCCACAATGTTCATTATTGTGTTGCTATAATTTTATCTCAAGCAGTCATTTCTACTTTGTCCAATTCTGTTATATTATCTACTCAGACAGCATAATTATTACTGGTACTATGACAGGAACTATAATAAAGTACCAGTAAATCCATCATATTTAAATATGCTTCAATACCCTCTTATCCTTAACTAGCTGGAAACCACAGAAAAAAACCCCAAAAAAAACAAGAACGAACTGAATGGAAATACCAATGATAGCAAAACTGTTTTATGTTCAACTGGAGCTTGATTCTTATCAAATGTTTTTTTTTTTACAATGTTTTGCCATTGTAACCATGCGAGACATTTTCACTATTGAACAAGTATAATAGACATTGTCAGTTATATTTAACAATATATGTTTGAATAATTACCTGTTGCTCCAGTACAATATGTGTGTGTATGTGGTTTTATACAGCCAAACAAAGTTTAGTGTTCATGCTCCCCACAGGCACAGATAATTTTTTTTGCCACCTGAACACTTATCAACATTCTACCAAATAAAGCTACCACTTGAAATTACTATATTACATTAAAATATTTTAAGCTTAATCTATCTTGACACAATCTTGTTAACCACCCTCCCAACATAAGGAATCAATAGTATCCAACACTTGGAAATTTTTTTTATTTTTTAAATATAAACCAATGTCATCTCTGTATTAATATTCATACAACCACTCTAATGATGGCTCATATGAGCCGAAAGCTTAGATCGGGGAACAGCATAAAAAAAATATCCAAATGTTGGACAGTTTTTTTTTCATTTTCTCCTGAAACTAAATCCACTATTCAAAGCTTAGAACAGCTCATGATCAAACATAATAGACATTTACTATTTTATATATATATATATATATATATATATATATATATATATATATATATATATATATATATACATACACACATGCGCTAAAAAGATTATTTAGCCCCTTGGAAGCTAATTGTACTGGACAGAAAATGGCATTTATTTATTCAGTTATTGACTTATATTTTTTCTTTTTGCATTCATATGTTTTTGTTTGAATAGAAACAGACAAGCTAACAAAATAGGACCAATTTTATCAGTTTTCTAAAATTTCAGAATATATTAAAGGAATCAAGAAAGGGATTGGTGGTTACTTAAATACCAGTTTCTGCAATGTTTTTTGCAGTCTGCAATATTTTTGAAAAGGAATATGAAATGCATTTGTGTAAACCGTAAAGTTTTGAATTTTAAAGTAGACCACAAACAGTCCTGTCAAGTTAAAAACTTTAACAAATCACAAAAATATCTATTTAAAATTGAAAAATTTTGAAAAGGAATCTTTAAAATTTAATGCATGAAAATATCACTCCCCCACCTCAGCAAATAAACAAATTTGCATAAGTGTAGATAAGCTTCAAGGAGAAGACCAAATTCACATTAGGTCATCGGACCATGCCAAAAAATTTTCTATGGCTTGAAAGACTTTAATTTTTTTTTAAAATCTCATTTTACAAGGTGAGTTTTTCTTGATGAAGCAGGGTATATTTTCAGCCTATTTTAGACAAATAGGCTCACTTGTTTTGATTTCATGAGTCATAAGATGAAAAATGTATTTGATGTTCAGACATCAAACTGACATTAATTTTTTTTCATTAAGATCAACTTTTCCAATGCTAATGTAGAAATTCAACATCTTAGAAGCTTAATTAATGGTTATGGTCAAAATACATGTCTATCTTTTAAGCAAGAACTTTAGCCAACCAACAAAGAGCAATTAAGTAAATCTGAGGAACACTAATCAAGATGATCAGGATTCAATGAGAAGAACGTACACACACAAAAAAAACAAACACTAACAATGACTAGTTGTGGAGGATGTTTTGAACTCTCAGTTCCATTTTGTTTGCTTTTTTCTTATTTATGATAGTTGTAAAATTTTAAGTAATACAGTTCAACAGACAGAGGCTAGGGTAGTGAGAGAGAGAAAGGGGGAGAGATAGAAGTGAGAGAAAAGTTTTTATTTGTATTGTCTGGTTTATGGCTTATCAACATTCTCCAGTTTATTTAATATCATATTCTGTAGTTTTGATAAACAATAGAAAGGTAGACTCAGGTTTGGTTTATAAGAAAGTAAAAAGTAAACACCAGTATAGTAAATAAATTTATTGTGTGTGTGTGTGTGTGTGTGTGTGTAGTGGTGGTGGAGGTACCCTTTCTGCATAAGGATATAGTCAATAGATTCTTTACCCCAATCAACAGGGCAGATTTTTTATTTGTTTCTTCTCACCTATATCTTCATAATTTACCATTAGGAAGAAGAGAGGGAGGGAAATAAGATGGGTGGGGAATAAGAGAAGGAAGGGAGGGAAAGAGAGGAGAGGGAAAGAAAAAAAGAGAAAAGAATGAAAAAGGAAACAAAAAAGGAAAGAAAAAGTAAGAACTTGGAAGAAAAAGGTCAAAGCTTTGATCCACTCTACTAATTTCATATATAACAACAAAAAACATTAAAATCAGAGAGAGAAAATAAACAAATGCCAAAATTTATATATTACATTTTGCACTGGGACAGAGAGTAATCAGAACATTAATTCAGTAAAAATAAAAATATAACATTTAATACTTATTTGTTCTGCTAGAATATTTATATAAAAATAAAATATCAAATTCAGAAGTTTGCCTAGTGAGTAGAAAGAGTATACTTTAGCCTCCTTACAGACTAAGAACCCATTATTGGTTTGGGTGCAAAAAAGGTAAAGGTCATTCACAGAGCTTTTAGAAAATGAAAGTCACCATAGTAACATTAGTGCTCCAAAATGGTATTTGATAATCTAACCAGTAAATGTGTAATTTTTCTGTGAGATTTCTTTTAGAATTTTTTTTTTAAATATTCAATCTATACAGTACATTGAAAAAAAAAATTAAGCCAGGGGCAAGAGATTGCCTGTGATCAAGAATTAATGCAAGTATTACTGACAGAACAAGGTTTCTGTAGAAAGATTGACCCAATTTAAAAAGATCAAAAGGGGTAGATCAATTAAAGTATGCCTGTCTTTCATCTATATCCATTCTCACCATTTTAGCTTTCTTACTCTACCTTGCTTAACTGCAATTCAGTTGTTGTATTGTGGTAATGAACTGATAAGGCATAATACTTTTCACTATGTGCACCAAGGCAACTTGAATCCTAGGCATCCATATGTAAACATTTTTGACAGGTATAATAGCAGTAGGTCTAATTATACTAAACAATTTAAGAGGTAGATAAGAACAGCATGCTGGTTTTCACCACAAGCTCAAGGGCTACAGCACCTCTGGATGAATATTTGGCTTAATCCAATTGTTCTTAACAAATCATGTAATGAAGGTCATGTTGAATAGACAGGGTTCTAATACATTTCACATTAATGCAGGGCTACCCTCAGAGCTCTATCCTTGGACTGAAGTTGTTTCTTATCTACAAAAACTTCTGTTATCAGTTCCAAACTAGGTATTTATGCTGATGGTAACTATTATGCCTGTCTTAGTAGCATGTCTGATAAAGTAAAACTGACAGCCACTCTTGAAAAGGACCGCTAATCAGTGTTTAACCAGGAAAAGGAATGGCTTGTAAATTTTAATGCCTCCAAAACAAAACTGCTAGCATTTAATCACCAGAGAGAACATTACTGCCTGTTATCAGTATGGCTGATGCTAAACTCCAGAAGAGCAACTCTTTTTGTCTTCTTGGTCTCACATTTTATACGGACATGATGTGGAGTGACCATATTGAGTCAATTGCTAGATCTACTGCTCAGAAAGTGGGTTCACCAAGTAATGCCAGACAATTTTTCTCATTGGAATTAATCTTGCACATTTATAAATCTACCATTTGTCCATGCATTGAATATTGCTGCCATATCTGGTCTGGTGCTCCTAAAAGATATCTTGAAATTCTTAACAAAATCCAAAGAGTCTGTAATATTATTGGCCCTGACCTGGCATTTCGAATTCAATTACTTCCCCCCCACTGTGGTGTGACTTCCTTCTGTCTTTTCTATAAATATTTACATGGCAATTATTCTGAGGAGCTTTACTCTTTTCTTCTAATAGTTTCTTTTCTCACACTCCTTGCTTTCCTGCCACCTACAATGTTCAAAAATTTAAATGCAATGCCAATTGCCATTTTCTGTTTTTCTGAAAATTGTCCTTTCTCCTCACTAAAGTTTTTCAATCTCTCTCACTACCAGTAACACCTTGCATCTTAGTGGCATCACGGCCTTTCCTGGGGGTGAAAAAAAAAGAAGAAAAAAAGAATGCTAATCTATATCAAATACAACAATATCAGATGGATTATCACTTTGTGATTTTTACAAGAACTGTAACCTTAATTTGATCTCAATCTTTTGACAAATCTACTATAGCATTGTATACATGAGCATTAGACAGAATTAAGCTATTATCATTTTAGAATATGAAAGAGAAAAAAAAGTTTTACTTTGGGTAGAAAAGAAGAAAATTTGAATCAGTACTGAACAATTATTTTTAAATTAAAAGTTACATTTTTTTGTTAACATGTAGTTAATACAATTTTAAATATGTCAAGGCTGAATTATTATCAGGTTTACTATTTGCTATCATCTATTTAGTATAAACAAATCAAATATAAACAAAGAATAATATTTGGTTTCATAAGTGAGTAACCAGTAACTTTTGAAGATAGTTTTGTTAATGATCTGATTACAGAAAAAAAAATCTTTAAAGCTTAACAACACTTATTCTGAATTTTCATCTTATGTTTCCCAAACATGCATGAATTTTGGGTTCAGTATAAGACACACATATGTAAAACACAATGTAATTTCATTCGTCATACAACCTGATACGATATACTCGAGATAATGAAATATTCTGTTGTTATGATAACATGGATACCAACCACACAAAGGCCTTCTTAAAAAAGAAAGGTCAGCAATACATAAATGACTTACTTCTTGTTTGCCATTAGATTTCTTTGAATTTATAAAGCAGAATAAGAGAGACTCAAAATTCTGTACAGCTGGAGATTTTATTTAAAAAGATAATGTTTATTTTTTATCATATAAATAATTACATTTGCAAATGTGTGTGTGGAATCTTTAGTAATAAAAGTTTAAAAGCAAAAAGTAACTAAATGAAACTGGTTAGACTATATACCCCAAACATATTTAAAAAAAATAAAATAAAATAAATTTAAAATTTTCAGTGTCCCCTCTTTCTGTGCTATCTGTATCTGTTGCAGCATTCATCTGGTTGGTTGAGCCAGCTCTGTCAAACAAACTTGCTGCATCCAAACAAAAGCTGACCAAGCACAGCAAAGATCATATTCATTTGGACAGGCAAATCTATAAGGACTTTTAGTGGAAATTTGGATTCACAGTCCCCAGATGCATACATTTTAGGATAGCATATACATTTTCAACTCCTAGGATAGTACTATTTGGTTTGAATTTAGAAAGTTTCCTTTCTCTTTTTTTGGGACTGGTTTCTGATTATTTTTACTGTTTACCACCCATATATATATATATATAGGAAACAGTCTGTCCTGTATTTTATCCATTTAAATCTTTTCCATCTGAAGGTTATGAGAATTCTGATGGATTCATTGTGATTCCCACATTTAATTTTGGTATTAGCATGCAAGTGAAATGAGTTAATGTGAACTTTTCCTACTTTAGGTTTAATTTGAATTTTATTTCAAACTCATTTATATATTTTAGATTCCTCAGTCATTTTTAAAGAGTTTACTAACCATTCCTCCTTGGATGCCAACATGGCTTCATCATATGCCTTTTTCCATTGAATGTAGTTGCATTTTTCCCTTTTAGGGACAAACATCACCTTAGTTGATGAAATCTGAAAGGATGAAATGCATCACACAACACCTTTTCCATTTTTGTCATTTTGAGAATTTTTCCAAAATTGATTTTGATATTTGTTTATTAAATTATGTTTATTTTGATTATCCATATCATATTAGACGGTTGGATGATTCCTTCCATCCGAGTCCCAATGTTTTGATTTTATTTGTGTTAAAGTAAATGATTTGTAGAAATTTAAATATATCCGATATATAGTTATCTTCTTAACAACACTGTAGAATCCCTTTCATTTTGGTAGACCCCAGTCTCAGTTCAATTCTCTATACCATTTGGCTCTCTTTTTATATTGGGGTTTTTAGAGGATTGTCATTTTCAACTAATTTTCTGTCAACATATGACCCTGCATTTTCAATTTGCCCATACAACCATTTTCAAAATAGTGAATAGAATATTATTTACTTCGTTGAACATTCAACAAGTATTAAGCAGAAACAACAAAAAACAAAACTTCAAGTTTATTGTAAGTACAAAGCAATTACAAAGTTAAACATTACTGTCATTTTTTTCTACAGACGTTACTATTTATTTACTAAAATAGTACCTATCAAAAATGACCATGGATGGATAAATTGTACAAAATATCCATTTTATATAAATGTCTCTGCTAAACAATTATTGTGTAATCTATTTTCCTATCATTTCCCATTTTTGTGAATGTAGGCTACAAAACATTCCTGCTCAGACACTAAATTTTGGAATTTTCGAAGTGCTTTAGACCCTGATTATTAATGTTTTGGTAAATAATCTTGTCACTTTTAATTTCCATCTGACGGGGCCTATCTTTTTCTTCCTTGGCAGGCTTTTGATTTTCTAGTATGATCGGGTAATGATCACTGTTCACTATATGTTTTTCCATGTATAATCCACAAATTTATATCAACCTACAGGATCTGCATTAAAAAAAAAAAAAAAATCATTTCACCTCAAAGCAAGGATTATGACAAAGTAAAAGATTCTGGGTTTGGGAAGTTGCTCCACTAGGATGCAATTGGTTATCTAGTGTCACTTGTGTTGCTATATAATGTAACGATCAATATTGACACTCCTCCATTAGTCTATGTCCTGTATATTATAGTGGTATTGTTTATAATTTTTAATTTTTAAGTTGGTATTTTCTTGTAAAAAGTTTCCTGTAAGCTAAATGACGGCTGTCAAATTATCTCAAATTCCATTGAGGATTTTTTCATTTCAAGGTTGGTATTATCAAATTCAAAACTGGATTCCCTATCCTATTTTGTTTTTGAATTTTGTTTAGTTTCTAATTTTTCTTTGTTTTGAATTTCTTTGAAAGCTTATTATTTTCTTAGTTTGGGTTTGGAAAGAAGGTTTTGTTCTGTGTTTTCAAAGTTTTTTGCCTCCTTCTGGGTTTAAATTCCAAAAAGGTTTTAATTCTTCATCCAATAAATTTGTTATTTCAATTGAACCTTTTTATTTATCTTCATTGTTTATTTTATTTGCTTTTTTGTGCCATGGAAGCATATGTGTTTTCTTTTATATTATTTATAACTTCCTTTCGTTTCTATGGATATATTTTTTTGTATTTTATTCTAATTATTTCCTCCTGTTTATATATATTGCATTGTTTTGAG